TATATAAAGAAATATCTAAATATATAAATATAAAAATTATTTAAATAAATAGACAAAAATTTTAAAAAATTTAAATATATAAATATATAAATATATAACTACCCAAGCCATGTAGCTCACTCCCCTGCTATTCTCTCCCCTCCAAACACAACACCGTGTCAGACACTCGACCTGCTCTGCTCCCTGGCCAACGGTGATTTACGGCATGAAAAGGGAAAACCTAAATCATGCCGGGCTGAAAACATTCCAGTTAATGCAGCACAAGTGAGGAATTTATTCCCATTAACTCCGACCAACAGTTCTAACCCGCCCGTCCTTCGCTGTCCCCCAACATCCTCCTCCTCCTCCTCCTCCTGCCCGGAGCGCTCATGTGTGGGCTCCTGCAGGTCACCATTCCTTGTTAACGGCACGGGCTCATTTTCCAGGGAATGGGAACGCTCACAAGGCCTCATCCATCCCCTTCCCACGGCGAGAGCACAAGGACCTTCCCCAGGGAGGGATTTCCTCCCAGTATCCAACCTAAACCCGCTCTCTTCCCATTTAAATCCACTGTCCTGTCACTCCAGGCCCTTGGGAACAGCCTCTCTCCATCTTCCCTGTCCCTCCCTTCAGGTCCTGGAAGGCCACAGTGAGGTCACTCCAAAGCTCCTCTTCTCCAGGCTCAACAATCCCAATTCCCTCGGCCTTTCCTCACGGGATCCCTCCGATCCCTCGGTGCCACCAACCCCAACCTGCTGCCAGCCCGACAATCCCGGGATGGTTTGGGTTGGAAGGACCTTAAAGCCCATCCAGTCCCACCCCTGCCACGGGCAGGGACACCTCCCACCAGCCCAGGTTGCTCCAAGCCCCGTCCAACCTGGCCTTGGACACTTCCAGGGGTGGATGTGCCTGGCTGGCCACAGCAAAATAAGGAGCTCGTGAGGGATCTCAGGGAATTAAATCAGATTATTTCTGGCATATTTAACCAAGATGTTGGATACGGGATTGGGAATGCCAGGACTGAGGAACCCCCCCGAGAAAAGAGCTTCTGCCCAGCTGCTCCAGCTTTTTGCCTGAGGTTTTTATTCTCTTTAGGAGATGCAAAACTGAAAGTTAGCTTGAGAAATTCCCGAGGAATCTCCCTGGAGATGAGACTTTGGGAGCCGGGCTGGGATCCATCCGCAGAGCTCTTGGCTAATTCCTGCAGATTTTTTTGGGGGAGGAAAAGGCCCTTCCTCCCCGTCGAGCACGAAGGGGGGAATCATCCCTGTCCCCAGTTCCCCTCTTTGCCATTCCAAGACCTCACTGGGCCTCACATCCCTCCTGGAGCAGCTCCACTGGGAGAGGGTCTGGAGCTCGTTAAGAGGCT